ATGATTGGCTCACACAGTGCAACCTGAGCACCAAATGAGCCCAACCACGTTGTGGAAAGTGCTGTCCCTCAGGCTTTGTGCCGGAACAGGAGGCAGCCTGAATAGCCCCAAACCAAACATTTTTCCTTTTTTTTTTCCTCTCTGATATCGCTATGCACAGGGTGAGCAAAGAGAAATGGCAGCAAACAGCTGGAAAACAAGAGGCATCCGAGGACGCTGAGGATGCAATGCTCAGCACTTGAAATCAGGCCTTGCACGAGCCCTTTTTAGGCAAGGCAGCAAGAGCTGAAATGCCGAGTGAAGCATTCCCTGGGATACGGTGTCTGGAGGAAGATCCAAGGGGACAGAAAAATCCAGTTTGCTACAAGCTGGGGCACTGCTGGAGGCTGAGCACCGAGGGAAGGGTGCAGCTGCAGTCACCAGTCTGTGTATCCAGGAATGAAGGAAAACTCCAGAAACACCCCAGAGCCTTTAGAGGAGGAATTCGAGTGTGAGGGAGCACTGCTGATTTTTTTTTTCCCCCCCCCTCTCTAACGGGGAAGAAAAGGTGAAGGCAACACAGAGACAGCAATGCTCAATTGCACGGAGTGGAAACTCTCCCTGCACAAGAGCTCAACGGCATCAAGTGAAGCAATTGGGGAGCAGACTCAGGACAAAGCAGCATCAGCAAAGGCACAACCTGCTGCACACTATTTGCAGGGGTTCACGATCAGGTGGGCAAATTAACAGCAGGGGTTTTGCTGGCAGACACCACCCCCCCCCACCCCCGACTCAGGAAGACACGGGGCTGCCGCTGCCTGGAGGGAAATTCCCCATCCCTGTCCTAGGGATGGAAAGATCCTGGGACAGAGACCTGGGCAGGAGAGTGAGGGATGGAAACAGACCAGTCCAGGGGTTGGGAAATGGGATCGGACACCGCTCGGTGAGGCTGAGAGCACCTGCAGCCATGGGTACAGCTGCAGGTTGCAGTCCCCCTGCGAGAGCCGGCAATACGGATATGCCCAGGGGCCACCACGGGGCGAAGATGACGGGCAAAGCCCCACGATGTCACCCTTGAGATGTCAGTCTGATGACTTTTTCAGAGGCATTGGCTTGGGTTATTTTATTTTTCCCCCTTGTTTGACAATGCAGTGACACAGCATTGGTTTTCCTTATTAAACAGAGGTGCCAAGAACCACCCTGTGCCAAGCCAGCCGCCAGGGAGCGGTGGGAAGGGACCCTCGGCATCACTGGAGGCCGCAGCTTTGCACGCTGCCATTACGCTGCCCGCAGCATCCTGTCTACTCAGGACCTCACACACCAAGAAAGCGTCGGCACTGAGCAGCTCCAGGCACCAGCGTGATCCCGGGAGATGCGAGCAAGCGTTATTTAGGTGAATGACATCTCACAACCCCAGGGATCGCCAGGCAGCACTTACCAACGGGGCCGGGGGGTTGCTTTGCTGCAAGCTGGGAGCTCGCCAAAATCCGTACGGACACCTCGGAGCTCCGGCAGCGTTACCTCGGTCCTGAGCCAGAAGAAAAGGGAAGGGCTTTCAGGATCTGCAGCTCGCACCCCGATAAAGAAGCTTTTGAAGACCGCGAAGTTAATTATAGCACAAAGACTTACCCATGAGCACGCTTGCCTGCGGCGCTGGAAAGCAGGATCCTTGCCTTCGCTGATGGGTGGCAGGGACAAAGGGCAGCTGCCCAGCCATGCTGCCTGCAGGCAGCACGGGCAGCTGACGCGGCAGCGGGTCAGCACAACCCCAGGCACCCGAGTTTCTTCTTTTTTTTTTTTTTTTTTTTTCTCCTCCTTTTTAAGCCAGCCATCATAATGACCACATGACGGGGAAGCAAATGGCACAGCAGAACAGACGGGGCACAGGAGATGAAAGCCAGGAATTACAGATACAGGTGCAGGGAGGGAGGATGCAGGTCTGACACCAGCCAGTTCCCTGACAGGGTGTTACATTATCGGCGACGCAGAAGTTTCAGCAAGTGTTCATCCTGTCCAGGGGAGCAAGCTTTGCCAACATCGCTCTGTCGAGAGCAGACGAAAACCTTCCCTCTTCCCCGTCCCAGAGAAACTCAGCAACATTTCTAATGGGCAGCAAGGAACAAACCAATGCTTTAAAGGTTTTAAAAGCACTTATTGAAAGTTTCGGATGAAAGAGCCACATATCTCGCATGCTGACGTGCAAACGTAATAACTGAACCCTGTGTTCCCTTGAGCAAAGGGAAAATTACACAGGGCGGGAAGAAAGCCAGTTGTGCACCAACATGTGAGAAGAAAGATGGCTTTCTGCCCAGCCAGAGCTCAGTGTGGGTTTGGATCAAGGGCGCAGAGCAAAATACCTGCATTTCATCAATTAATAAAATCAAGAGATAGACCACAACTAACAAGTCATAAGTGTAGGTCTGTAAGTAAGGCTGGCCCAGCTGATAGGCTGGGTATTGGGCCTGGCTCTGGGTACTAAAAGGCAGCTGAATCACAGTAAGAGATTTGCAGAGATCCTTTGGGTCCCCCAGCAAAGGCTTAGGAAGGCCAAGGTGCCAAATCCACATCCCGGGGATGGCAAACCACAGGAGCTGGAGGAGGAACGTCCCCTGGCCGGGGGGGAACCCCGGGGGAACCGCTCGCTCATGCTTTTGCCCGGGTGAAATGCACTGGGTACCACGCAGCGAGTTGCTGCCTCAGGGAAATGCTCATGAATCACCCTGTTAGGAGAGGGAGGTGAAAAATCAGAGCTAGGAAAAATAGTCCGGCCAAGAGGCGGCAGTGAGGAAGCCCCTCTGCAGGCCAGCACAGCATTCTGTCCTGCAGCCAGCAGCCAAAGGCAGCCCTGTGAGCCGAAAAAGCAAAACCAGGTGAAGAAATCCTCCTCACTGCGTGAACCCAGGATGGTGGAAGCGTTTCGCTCACGCCTTGCTGGCAGGAAGGGGGAAAAAAAACCCCAAAAGGCCCTTAACCAAAGCTGTGGGGCATCCCACGCTGGGTGCTGCTGGGGGCCCAGGGAGACCCGATGAAGAGTTGCTGAACCTCCCCCCTGGCTCCCGCCCGCACCGCTGCCATCCCGCCTTAGCCACGCACTCGGGGTTTCAAAGCGCCGTAAGCTGGCACATCCCACAGGACAGCGGGAAATCTCTCCCCTCAACTTTGCTTTTGGATACATGAGGGAAGGCAGCCATCGGAGTGGGAATTGATGCCTCATGCGTGCAGCGAAACGCTCTGGGCGCGGCTAGGCAGATAAGCAGCAGCTCCTCTCTCTCTCTCAAGCAGAAAAGGGAGAGGTATGCTGAAAAAATCAAGGGAAATGGGTGGGAGACCAGCACCCATGTCCTACCGCTGGTGTGCAGCGAATGCAGCCAAGCCGGAGATGAACAGCCACCATGGCTTGGAGTAAAAAACTTTCTTCTTCGTACCCCAGACATTTCTTAATCTGAGTCCTTTTTTATCAGAAAATAAACATTTTACAGCTGTATTTTACAAGCGATAAAGCAGGGACGTGGATTACCTCTCCCACGCAGCCTTCCTTCTGCATGTACTTGCGGATCACAGACCAGATCTGGCACTTGCTCAGCAGCCTCCCACCCGTGGCCACTTCGAAGCTCTCGTAGGTCCCATACTTCTCCAGGACGGCACGAATGATCCTGAGCGCCTGTCGCAGGCAGAAACAAAACATCAGTGCCAACACCCTCCCTGCTGACAGATACCTCTTAAAACCCCCAGGTGCAATAATCCCCAATAAACGCCTGTGAGGGAGAGAGTTTTGCAATATTTAAAAAACCCCAGGGAGGCTGAGCCAGCTGGAGGTGGCCACCGGGACAGACGGACACTTAATGCAACCAGCGTGACCCATGGTATTTTCTTTCTACTTTTTATCACCCTTGCAAGCATCTGTTGTGGGAAACAGGCAAAGCAGAAGCGAAACGGCATCCACCACAGCACACTGCCTCTGGGAGGTTAAAGCCGCGGTTGTTTTCATTTTTTCTGCTTTCGGTTCTCCTTTCAAACTCTAGTGCTTGCATGAAGTGGTCAAGCTTTTTGCTCCGGGAGTTTCTTATTGAAACGCTAGATTGCAAGCCCAGCAGGAAAGCTGAGCATCACCAGCATTGCCCTTCGCAGCGGCGCTACTTCTTCTTCAGCCAGGGTCTCAGCACGACCAGCCCGCTGCGTGCCAACAGCCTCCGAATAAAAGCAGCGCGTTCTGTTTTACGAGCATTAACATTTACGAGGCATCTATAAAAAATGAGCAGTTATTAGCATGTTCCCTTCCCAAAAAGTCAGTTTGCTTTGGAGACGTTTTCAGGCCATGACTTTCTCCAGCCCATTAATATATACACCAAGCTAGATGATGACCACCTTGCAGCAATTCTGTAGTTTTTCCAGCAGTTTTATCGCACCTGTAAACCTGGCTGAGCCACTGCCGAGCTTCCCAGCCCAGGATCAAGTGCTGCTCCTGAATAGTGCATCTTCCACCTCCTCCTGCCGAGCAAACCCCCCGGGCTCTTGTGCAGGCTCCGGGCAGAGGTTGGGCCCTGCAGAGGAGGTCCCATCCCCGCCTTCACAGAATCCCAGCATGGCAGGGGTTGGCAGGCCCCTCCAGAGATCACCCAGCCTAACACCCCAACTTTGTAGCCCTCCTCTAGACTCTCTCCAGTAGCTCCTCATCCTTCCTGAACCAGGAAGCCCAGAACTGGACGCAGTGCTCCAGGTGGGGTCTTACTGGGGCAGAGTAGAGGGGGACGATAACCTCCCTCGACCTGCTGGCCACACTCCTCTTAATGCACCCCAGGATACCATTGGCCTTCTTGCCAACAAGGGCACACTGCTGGCTCATGGCCAACTTGTTGTCCACCAGGACTCCCAGGTCCCTCTCGGCAGAGCTGCTTTCCAGCAGGTCAGCCCCCAGCCTGTACTGGTGCATGGGGTTCGACCTCCCCAGGGGCAGCACCCGACACTTGCCCTTGTTGAACTTCATCAGGTTCCTCTCTGCCCAACTCTCCGGCCAGCCTGTCCAGGTCCCGCTGAATGGCAGCACAGCCTCCCGGTGGATCAGCCACTCCTCTCAGCTTCGGGTTGTCGGTGAACTTGCTGAGGGTATGCTCTGTCCCCTCGTCCAGGCCATTGATGAATAAATTGAACAAGACCAGGCCGACTACTGAGCCCTGGGGAACCCCACGAGCTACCAGCCTCCAACTAGACTCTGCACCACCAATCAGAATCCTCTGAGCTCTGCCATGCAGCCAGTTCCTGATCCACCTCACTGTCCACTCATCCAGCCCATGCTTCCTGAGCTTCCCTATGTGGATGTTATGGGAGACAGCATCAGAAGCCTTGCTGAAGTCAAGGTAGACTACATCTATTGCTCTCCCCTCATCTACCCAGCTGGTCAGGCAATCGCAGAAGGTCCTCAGATCGGTCAGGCATGATTCCCCTTACACCCCTATGGTCACCAGGATCAGGCAATGGGTGCTCTCCACCAGCACCAGCACTCAAACCACCCAATGCCCCAAAGAAGGGCTGCGTGGTCTGCATCTGGTCCCCCCCCAGCAGAAGGTCCTGATTTTCCTTCCCTGGACAGTCTCCTCCGCACAGCTGGTTTTTATTCTCGAGTCACTTATAGACTCTTTCTAGAGGAAGTTGTGTAGGTATTTTTGTGTTGTCAGGTGGGGTTTTTTTGATTGTTGTGGTTTATTTGTTTGGGTGTTTTGTTCATCATGATCAGGATCACTTTTGTGGCACTTCAAGGTACCTTCTGCTGACTGCAGCAGAAAAAGGACCATTCTTCCTCCCTCCTCAGCCACTTGCTCTCTCCTCCCAGAGGACCTAAAGCACCAAGCCAAGAGAAACCCAGCACAGCTGGTGCCCAGGAGTACAAACGACCAAAGGGCACACTCCCTGCTGACCTCCAGTGCACATCCCAGCGAGCAACATTCCGAAGATAACAAGTTTAGTTTTCCGCAAGGCTGCTGAGCATCCCTGGGCAGCCCAAAATCCTGCACCCACCATATGCAGCAGGATAACAAATCCTCCAGCCCCGTGCTGCTGGCATTCCCGCAACGAACCAGGGACGTGATCTCCAGGGCGATGAGCCTCCATGGGGCTGGAAGAATCAGTCTGTTTTATTTACATTTTCTATTAAAAATAAAATAAAATAAAATCCCCCCCCCCAGCACGTGCAGAGCAACCAGTGGAGCAGCAAGCTGGAGGCAGGGAGCTTTGCCTGCTCTTCTCCAAGGATGCTGGCTTAGCAAAACATCTCATTTATTTAAGCTCTGTGATTAACGCAGGTTTTCAAAATAAAAGCAGTTTATAGCTAATAGTTAGCTGGCAAGGGAAAAAAAAAGAAAAAAAAAAAGTGTCCCAAAATAAAAGAGGCTTGAAGGAGGTTACTGCAGGGTACGAGCGAAGGAGCAGCGCCGTGAACACCGTCACAGCACGCCGCCGGAGAGCTTGGAGGAACCCTGGCAGCAGCACTCAACACTTAATGTCTCTTGCAAAGGGTTTTAGGACCCAGGACAAGACCATTAACGCTGGTTACGAACCTTAATTGCACTGATTCAAAGTAACAGGCAGAGAAAAACCATCACAATTATTCATCTTTTACTATATTGCAAGTCAACTGTCCTGAAAGAGAAAGCAATAGGAGCCAGGACAGCTCTGAACAACTCATTTTACTGCATTACTTGGGGAATGAAATGCAAAAAAAGAAAGAAAACACGGACAAGGTAGCGAGGTCTCTACAGCAGTCAGTTTGTCCACCCTGCAACAGCATCGCTGGCACCAGTTTATCCGGGGCGGGCACTGGCCATGACTAACTGCTTAGAAAGCTGTTTACAGAAAGAGCCTGAATCATCTGGATAATAATTCAGGCACAGATACCGTTAGCAATGCAAGGATAAGCAAACATTCAAAACCCAATAAATAAATCAATGAAGAAGTTGTTATTTGAAGGGCCAGACGTAAGCTCCCAACTAGGAGGTGTAAAGCAACGCCTCTGGCGTGCAAGTCTCCATCTGTCCTAAGACCTTTTTTTCTGTCTGCTTCCCAGGATGCAGCTAAAAGGGGGCCGGATGGCAGAGAGGATGCTCTTGCCAGAGGCAGGGTGCCCAGCCCAAGGAGCAAGCTCATTTTGGGGCACGGCCAGGCTCCCGGCTCCGAGCACGGAGCAAAGGGATGGAGCCTGCAGCTCCATTCCTGCCTCACTCTGCCTGCACCCGGACGAGGTGCCTCAGCGGGCAGAGCGCAGAGGAAGCACGCTCCTCTCCTCCTGCCCGTTTCCTCCCCTCTGAGTGGCCGTGCGCTGTTTGCTTGCCGCCATCCACACATTATTATCTGTGGCAGAGAGCAAGCCAGGAACATTTCAATAGCGTATGAGCAATGGAAGCAGTTAAGCAAAATAATACAGACTCCTTAAGCGGGGTCTACACCAACTGTTACCGTGACTGACCACATTTGCTGATGTGTTAAGGACGGTGCCACACTGGACAACCTTTAGGCCTTCCAGAAAATAAGCTGGACTTAACCACCAGGTCTTTCAGGCTAAGGATTGCATCCTGCGTGGTCACCCACGCATTCCAGCTCCTTGTCTGCTATTTCTAAAGCAGCAAGTGCAAAATAAAAATAAAATAACAGTAATGTGTGCCCGGAGGAGCACCAGCTCCTGACCACCACCACGCGTCCGTGAGCAAGCGGCCAATAGCATCACCCAGCACCAACGGGACCATCACCCACATCACCCCCAGAGCACGGATTACTCCTGCAGGTGGACCAGGCAATTAAGAAGAGATGAAGAAACAGCAGGGCGAGCGTGCTGAAGGCAGGGCACACCGGTGCCGAGCGGAGCAAGACCTGGCAGGAGAAGCTGGGACGGAAAACGGGCCACGGGGTTGCCCACAGACCAGCTCCAGGCTGTGGCGCGGTCCCACCGTGCCACGTCCCCGTGGCATCAAGGCGGTGACACCGCCCTCCACGAGGACACCCACTCCTTCGCACCCGCCGGGTCCCCCAGTTCCTCCTCCTCCTCCCAGGCCGAGCATCCCTACCCCCTGGAGACACCGGCGGGGGGAACCAAAGCCCCAGCGGCTCCGCCTCACCTGAGCGACGAAGCGATCGGAGGCGGCTCCGTATTTGTCCAGCACGGCGGCGGGCACCGGCTCGGCGTACTCGAACTGCGGGTCGTAGGCGAAGCTGGCGCGGAAG